CGGATGCTGGCGTCTGCTAATATCAACTGGACTCTGTGGTCTTGAATAAGTCCTTTGTACTTTTGGGGTTTCAACTTCCTTGAAAAAGTGGGGATGATGACCCTCAAATCACGGGGGTGAAGAATAGACGAGATGTCTGTGAAGCACCAAGCACATAGTAGGTTTCTGCATCCCACTCGTAAAACTCCACAAACATCAGACAGGGAGTCCACTGGGGCCCGGAGCACAGGCAAATGTTGCTTTTTTAATTTAACAACTACAATAACTCATTCGATCTAGTGAATCCATATCTTTAGCCAGCGTCACAGTCTGGAATGACCTCTCTGCACCCTCTGTTCTGCCTTGGTCTATTCCATATCTGGAAACTTCTTTTACCTTCGAGGCCAGGTTTAACTGTCGCTACCTCGAGGAACTGTTTCCAGGAATTCTGTCCGCGTGTTCTTCACTTTTGCATCGATTTCCCCTGCTTTGAGCTGTGATTAGTTCTTATAGGCAAGAGAATATCTTATTCACCTTGGTGTTACTCAGTCTTTCCGCACCGTGCGTGTCTTTTTAGGACCCCCGTAGAGGTGTGAGGAGCATGTTTTCATCTGGAGCAACATTTCACACCATTACTTTGACAACATCCAGTGCTCCGTAAGAGGAAGGCATCATCCAGTCAGGAAATTTGGGAACACAGACCCGGTCGTCACCAGCCCACCCATTAGACAGAGTGGCTGAGGCCCACAGTACTTGTTTTACATATGGTACTGGGGGGTTAAACCCAGGGTCTTCACACTGAGCTACATTCCCCATCCCCACTCCTTTTAAAATTTTCCGAGACAGGGTCTAACGAAGTTGCTAAGTTGCCCAGGCAGGGCTCTAGTTTGTAATCCTCCTGCTTCAGCCTCCAAGAGTGCTGAGATTACAGGCATGTGGCTACCCACCCGGCTTTCTACAACACTTTTATTGGACCACCAAAAGAAGAAAACAGTTTTAAGTCATTTTAAAATCAGTAGAAAAAAATTAATTTTAAGTCGAAGAAAACGTTTTAAAATATATTAATAGATTCATCTCTATGAAAATGCGCATGTAATTTTTACTACTTTTATAGAAGAGGCCCATGAAGGCACAAAAATCACAGGACAGTTCTGTGGACAAACATCACTCCTCCTCTTCCCCTGCCCGTCTTCCTGAGAAGCTGCCTGTCTGTAGGAAGAAAGCGGTTTCTCCCTGCTCCTCCTTGTGCAGCATTTGACGGGGCCACGGCCTCGTCGGGCATTGCTGGGTCCCTGAGAAGAAAGGCCCATTCGGACCTAAGTGCATTCACTGTGGAAAAGTGATTCTCTTCCTGTAGTTGTCCGTTCAGACAGGCGATGTGATATACTAGCCTCCTCTGCCTGGCTTCTGTTTCTTCTTCTTTTTTAATTAAGTTTATTGATACATTTTAGGTATACACTGCAGTTACATTCATCACTGGGATCTTGTACCTTTACATGACTTGGTTTCTTATTTTTTCTCATTCCTCAGCCCTCCCTTTACCCCCTCCACCCTTCCCTGTTTACAAAGACTTTGTTTCCATGTTTTTCCTTTTCTCATATCTTTTATTTTCCCTTTTTCCCTTTCCCCTACTTCTCCCACTTCCTCTACTCTTTTAGGCCTTTTCTTTCTATTACACAATATCAATTATACATTTTGATCCTTATTTATGCTTTTAGTTTTTCACACCAGAGAAACTATTCAGTATTTACACATGCGTGTCTTAATTTCACTTAAGAGTATGGCCTCAAAGTCTATAAATGTCTCAATGGGTATAAATGTCTCTGCTTTCTCATTCTTTATGGCTGAGTAGTACTCCATTTTATTAAACACACACACACACACACACACACACACACACATTTTCTTTATTTAGTCTCCGGTTGATGGCAATTAGGCTCTTTCCAACTTTTAGCTATTACACACTATGCCGCTATAAACATGGGTGAGCATGTATCACTGTGGTATGAGTCTTCTAATTCTTCTGTTTCTATCTCTCTCATGGTTTCCTAACTTGGACAGAGAGTGGAAATGCCACTGTGCGGGCTGCATGAAATCATTGCATTAATCTATTAAGTAATTCTGTTTGGGAAAGGATGATCTTATTTGACAGAGGAAGACATTGATGAACACACAGTATAAAGAACTGATTCAGCTGGGCGTGGTGGTGCACACCTGTAATCCCAGCACTCAGGAGACTGAGGCAGGAGGATCACTGTGAGTTCGAGACCAGCCTGGGATACATAGTGAGTTCCAGTTCAGTCTCAACTACATAGTGAGACCCTGTCTAAAAAACAGACAAACAAACAAACAAAAAAAGAACTGATTCAAGGCTAAGCAGCTAACAAATAGTTTTAGAACCAGAACTTTTGGACTACAAGTTAAACCCTCTTTTCCCCCTACTCCGCATAGTAACAGCTCTATAAATGCATGTTAGGATGAATCAGAATGGTGCCTGGAATATTTCCAGGCAACACAAAGCTTAGTTGAAACTTCCCAGAATTTTTCAACTGGTGATTATAAGATTCTGATGAAATAGCCAATGTTTACCATTCCCTTAATAAATGCAAGGTTTAAAAGCATTTTTATGCTCTGAAGAATCACCATCAGTTGAAGATATTCTTATACTGTATTCCACCATCTTTACAGGAACAGATTGTGTGGGGGGGTATCTTTTATTCACCAGAGTACTTAGACTAAAAATACAATGTTTGACTTTCTTAGGGACAGAATGAAATATGAATAATTGTGTACTTTCTTGGAATTTAATTTTTATTCCAGGAGGCCAGTACTCAAGATTATACCTTTCTACTGTCTCTGGCATACAAACCTGCTCACTAAGACTTGGAAAGAAAAGACGCATTGGAAATGAAACTGATAACTGAGCATTTTTGTGCTTTTATTCAGGGAAGACCCTGTGTCCTCTCAAACAAAGGCCTAGTACATCACCGGTCATGTTTAGAATCCTCAAATATTTTCCCAAAGAAAATTCTCAGAAAGAAAAGAATCCCTATTGTCCTTGCCAGGTAGAATTCGGAGATTGTTTGGGCAAGATGAAGTAAACAATTACAGGAAGAGAATCACTTTCCCACAATGAATTTACATGTATTTCTCCTCAACCTTGAGCCACTCAGGTGCCTACAGTACCCTAACAGCAAACATTCAGACAAAGTTTTGGTAAGCGAGTTTATATTTTCTAAGCTAGACTTAGGTTTACAGAACGTTCTAGAATGTGGTCTCACAATCACAGGTGAACTGTGTAGCCAGCCTAGGTCACACTTCACTGTGCTTGCCATAAACCTGTGTGTTGGTCTCTCCTGTTTCTCTTCTTTGTCTCTCTGTCCTATTACACTAGAAGCTCCCAGAAGACAGACACCATGCCTTTCTTGTTCCAAGCTTTGAACACTGAGTATGCCTCTGTAAAAGAGAGGCTAAAAGGATGGGTTCCAGGGAAACAGTGACTTGGATTTGAACTCTACCAAGCTACTCGCTAATTTTGTGACTGAGAAGACATGTCTCCCTATTACTCAGTTTCCTCACCTATAAAACAGAGCAGATTCTACGTCTTACCTCACAGAACTATTGCAAAAATTAAATTAGTTCACATGTACAGCATTTAGTTTGACCCCTGGCACATTATAAGCTCTTAGTAAATATTCGCTACTATTACTGTATTAAGAGCTAAGTGAGAACTTCGAGAGATTTTTTTTTTTAAAACGGGGATCAGCTCAGGCAAGAGAAATGCATAGGGCTGGCTTCATTAAGGAGAATTCTAACTGGGATATTGCCCGATTGGCTTCTACAGGCTCCTTACCTGAGGGCACAAGGGTCAAATGAGCACATAATTCGCCAGAAGAAGCCAGCCCTCATGAGGTGAGCCTTGTCTCCCCCACAGCGGGGTCTGAACTATGAGCTAAGACTCTGTGTTCCCAAGCAGAGCCTGACCTAGAGCAAAGGAGACAAGCTCCACTAGGAAGGAAGTGTGCCAGGTCCCTCACCTGCCCCGGACGTGCTGTCTGCCAGGCTATCAGCACAGGGCCCCGGCCGGCTTCCTCTGCTATTGTTCAGCACTCACCGCTCTCCTGATAACCGCTGTGGGAACCGCTGCCCGGACCGAGGGGCCTGGCTAACAGGGCCAGGACTGCCGCAGGGAAGGGGCTCTCCTTGGAATGAGGGGAACAGGCTGGGAAGGGGCAGTCAGCGGCCTGAGGCCACCAGAATAGGAAGCACACTGAGGCACCGATGCAAATGCAGTGTTTTTGAGTAGTTTTGTAAAAGTGAAAGAAGTTCAGTCTCTGCACAGAAATGTTTAGTGTACATAATTATCTGCAAAAAGCCAAAGTGTTTCACCTCTGGACATTTTCTAGACTGTGCTAGTTGTAGCCAATTTTAAAAGATATCCAAGGAGCCCTAAAACTCAGTCATGGGACAAAAACATCTTACTATATTACCCTAGAGGTTTATTACCCTAAGAGATTTGAGGCATTTTTGTCTACATTTAGTTATTAGAATGTCCTCCTTTAATAATGATGTCCTTATGAAGCATCTAAATTAGTGTTCTTAATGTACTTTTCTTTCTACCATAAAGGTTTTCTTTCTTTTGATTATATAAGTAATAAATGGTCAATGTAAAAAGAACAAATTTAACCATATATATGTAAAAAGTTCAACCATACATAGGCAATAAAGAAGAAAGTAAAAAAAGTACCTGAAATGCCACTGCCCTCAAATAATCACCATGTATACTCAGTGAGTATATACTGTTTATACTGTATATCAACGTCTATGCATATATAGGCATACAGTGCCCATTGTATGACAAAGAAGTAGTCATATGTGACTTCATAGAAGCTGTGCATTGTTAAAAGACTGTGAACATTTTTTTTTTTTTTTTTTTTTGGTGCGGGGGAATTGAGCTTGGGTCCTTGCGCTTGCGAGGCAGGTGGTAGAACCACTGAGCTAAATCCCCAGCCCTGTGAACACATTTTTTAAGTGAAATGTTCCAGTTATTTCTGACTCAAGGATCCAAGAAATAGGTTTGTACCCAATATGTATCTCAGATTTATCTCCCTATATATAACTAGATATAGAACATAATAAAACATCTATAAGTAGATACATATTTATACAGCCAGCTATGTATAACTGCCCAAATAAAGATCAGCTTATATGACATGTGTATTTTTATTTGGTACTCTAGCATGATTTCAGGCATTATCAACTAATCATTATATATATGTATGAATACAAGTGATTTGTTCTTTGAAAGTTTAATACATTATCTATGATTTGCTGTTTTGAAAGTTAACCAGGCGTCTGTCACAAAGCACAGAAGTGAAACGGCAGGTGTCAGAACTTCAGATCAAGAGATCTTATAATGATCAGGTTTTAAATCTATGACAGTGTTTAAAATTTAAAATCCTGTCGCTGACCACAGCTAAAAATAAGTCAGAATTCAAGACACAACCCAAAATTGCTAATGCTGAAAGTGACATCAAGGATCAACTGTTTGAAATCACATGACTTAGGCCAGGGACTTAGCTCAGGGGCACGGTGCCTGCCTCACAGGTCCTGAGTTCAATCCCCGGACTGGGAGAGGGCGTAATAAAATCATTTGACTTTAGAAAATGACAATACTGTGGCCCAGTGAAGTGAACGGTGTGTGTAGAATCACAGAGTGACTTGTGGTCAACTCTACACTAAAATCTATTTTATTTCATCATTGTTTCACCTGTTTCCATTGGATTTTGTTTCCTATCACATTTAATATAAGTCAGAACTATTTTCCCCTTTTCTGAATCACACCTGCTCAGAGAAGACTAACATCTATTTGAATTCAGACATTTTACACTTGATCCTGGCCAAAAGGCCTAGAAGCGATTAAATTCAGACATTTTGCAAAACTAACTCAAGGATAAAAATAGGGGAAACAGAGTCCCTGAGAAATCAGATTGCAATATACAAAGGAACAGCAGGAGGAGTGATGATGATTATTATAAATATAGCAAGTACAGGTAGTACCAGTATACCAGGTTGCAAACACTGTCCTACTACTTTATAAGTTATGTGTATTTATATATGACCTGTATGTGTCATTTGGCACAACAGCCAGTGAAATAGCTACTGTCATTATTGCCCGTTTACAGAAGAGAAAACTGGAGCACATGCAAGTTAGGTAATTTCTCAGAATCACATAAGTAGCTTGAGGCGGAGCCAGGGTTGTGGGCCCAGCAGAACAACTCTGGAGTATAAACCTCTGGACCAGACAGCACTAGCCTCTCAAGGAGGAAGGAGCTCAGGCAACCTGCAGTGATATTTCTGAAATGTCACAAGCTCGACACTGTCATCCCGCATGCCCTGGAGAGGGTGCCACAGAGAAGGCAGACAGTTCCAAGGACAAGTCCTGGAGCCTTTCCCTGTTTACCCTGCCCAGTTCTGAGACTCCTGGCCAAAGCTTCTAATTCTGTTTTGGGGCCCTATTCTGTTTCTTTGTTCTTCATTTGCTTGTTTGTTTAACAATTTATTATGGAAAAATCTCAAACCATATTCAAAAGTATAGTTAACAATAATAACCAAGTACTCAGCTCTCTCTCTGCAGTAATTTCAACAAATATAAGTGCTTGTTTTTGTTTGTTTGTTTGTTTTGAGGGGGTACGAGGGCCGAACTCAGGATCTTGTGCTTGCCAGGCAGGCACTATGCCGCTGGGCTAAATCCCAGGCCCTAGCCCTTGTTTTCTTTGTTTAATCATTTACTTTATTTTTTTCCTTTCTGAAACATATTTTAATGCATTGTATGATATATTTAATATATTGGGGTCATCGTACATCTTATGTATACATATATAAAAATATGCTCAAATATATGACACTAAAAAGAACTGTGGCTATTAATGGTTTACAGATACAACTGGCCTATGACAACAGAAGTAGACTTGGGGGCTGAGTACACAGCTCAGTGGTAGAGCACTTGCCTTGCATGTGTGAGGCCCTGAATTTGATCCCCAACAGTGCAAAGGGGAAAAAAAGAAAGTGAAATAGTCGGGACATCTAGGGTCCGGTTTGGGCTGCTTCGGTGACCTTGCACAAGTCACCTCATTTCCCTGACCTATGTTTTTCTAACCAGTGAAATTCTGTCCACTTCTCAGAGTTGTGGTGACCACGCAAGACCACGGGTGATTTCTACCCCAGAACACAAGAGTCCCCAACCTGGCCACCACTTACTTGAGATGGCTGTTCTCTCTTCTGAGCAGTCCTCGTCCCTTACAGAGGAGATAGAGTGAGACAAATGCAGTAGCTCTGAATAATCCCAAGTCAGAGGAACAGACATGCCACCTGCCATAGCACTTGGAGGCCCAGAGTAATTGAACTTGTACGCATTTTGTAAGCCACTTGCCAAATATTTTTAAATTAGGATATTTCTGCCCTTGAGTCCCTCTGGGAACTTTACTCATCAACATGCCTGATGCCTGAGAATGGCAACTTCCCAAGAAGTGTTATTTGCTGGGGTTACAAAGGCCACATGCTCTGTACATTTCCCCAGTGATCAAGGCCTGCAGAAACTGGAATGGCTGCAGCAAAACCCCAGGGGGCTTCTCAGCTATATGGGCTTAGGGCTCTGGGTGGCCCATTCTTTGCCATTTTGAGGCATGAGAGTTCTCTGAAACCCCAGAGGGGGATTGCTTATCCCCTCAAGTATGAAGACTGTAGCCCAGGATATTTGATCCGTGTTACCATAAACGTAGGTGTTATTCTTATCTGCATGTGTACTTATTTGATGCATATTTATATCTCAGTTCCTAAGAAATTATCAGGCTCAGTGCAGACTTGACAAATGGAAAAAAAACAGCCTTTTGGGACTTGAAGGATTAAAAGCTACTTGTATTATGTGCTATGGTCGTCAAGCGTATGACTTAAAAGCACCATTTTCATTATTAGCATCAGAAGATGTTTAGTGATTATACTTGAGAAGCACACCATGGCCCCTTTATTGAGCAACTGTAGTGTTAAAGAGAATTTACCAAGGTTAATAAGACACAGCCCAGCCTTTAAGGAGTCCATGGTCTATGATATAAATAGACAGATGAACCTGTTATTTTAATGCAGACAGACAAAGTACTTAAAAGGAACTAATAAAAAGTTTCATGAGGCACAAGGACTGGAGTTTGATCCCTGGTACAAAAAGTTAAAAATTTTTAAAAAGCTTCGTGAGCGTCAAAATAGAGCTATCATGTGTATGTGAAGTGAGATTCAGGAATCAGGCCTCACAGAGGAGCTGATAACAGGGCAGACACAGTGAGGCAGGAGGAGAAGTGGGTATGAAGAGATTCCTAGCAGTAGAACATCTTGCGCACGTGCTTTCGAGTGACCTGGCACCTCAAGTAGCTAGGGCAGAGTCTCAGTGCAGGGGTGTATCGGTCCATTTTCTATGGTAACAAAATATCTGAGGCCAGTGACTGATCAAGTGGTTTATTTAGCTCACTGTTTGGAAGCTGAAAATCTAGACAGTATAGTGCAGTCTCTGGGGAGGGCCTGTTGGCCACCTCACATCATGGCAGATGGCATCATAGCAGAGGCACATACCAGAGGGCGAGATCCCATCATAAGGCAGGAAGCCAGAGAGCAATTCCAGGATGGAGCCTACTCTCTTATAACTCACTCTCCTGAGAACTAATTCAGGGGCCAGAAGAACCATCTGAATCCCTACATGAGTTAATCCCTGGTCGATGCTGAAGACACACACCCATGACCTGTAGACATCCCACTGGGCCTCAGCTCTTCATTGATACCCTGGGGACCATGCTTCCAACACACAAACCTTTGCGGGACAAACTACACCCAGACCATAGAGGGGAGGAGGAGGCCAGGGATGCTAGCGGAGACCAAACAGAAGAAACAGATGTGCAGCAATGGGATCAGTGGTCGTGAATCGCATTTTACAGCTCCCCATCCCTAGGAGCTGCTCCCCAAAACTTAATACACGTTGCTTGCTTGCCCTGAAAATGTGGCTGCCTCATCCCTGCCATCAGATATCATCCTTTAAACCACGTTCACACAGAAATTCTGGAATTGCCACTGCTCGCGTGGCTTGGGAGGGAGTTTCCTCCAGCATGGAATGGGAACCACAGTTGAATTTTCAGCAAAGCAGGGACATTATTTAACCAATAAGTCTACTACCAACAAACGGATTTGGAAATCTGGACCTTTGAGTTGCCGCTGGCTCCCGCATGCCTTAATGAGAATTAGAAAAAGGTGCCCCTTCTTCAGGATCCTTTTATTGCCAAATATCAGAAGATGATCATAAAAACAGCTTTTATTAGAAAGTCCCTTTACTAATACCTGCCAGAAAATCTTCATAAACATAGAAATACAGAGCATGGAAAATATTAATGGAGCCTCCTTAAAGGTGGCAACCTGTGCACAGCGCAGCACAGGCTGCACAACCGTACACAGCAGTCCTACTTTGGAGAAAGGCTCTTCTACTTTCTTTCAAATGCAGCTACTAAAAACAGGCTGGTACCTAGCAGGGTGGCAGTCAGGGCATGGAGGAAAGGGCGCTGTCAGCTGGGCCCATAAAAACTACAGTGAACACAGAAACTGCTCTTTGTTCCATCTGACCTCACCAGGCACTGAGGGTGGAGCTGAGGCTGGGGCCTGGTCACAAGTCTTCCCTCCAACCTTCTATTTACTACCTGCCCTCTTTAACTTCTGCCCCTGCCCGCTCCGCCGTGACCTTTTGGAGACATTCTCATCACCTTTGCTTCTTCCTTCTTAGGTGGGTGCTCTTGACCACCTTGCTTAAAACTGCAAACCATTAGAATCCCCTCCCAGCTTCCCCTCTTTCACACGTCTTTTGAGACACTTTTGTATTTCTTGTTTTGTTTTCGTAGTGGGGATCAAACTTGGGCCCTTGCACTTGCGAGGCAGGCAGTGTAACCACTAAGCCAAAGCCCGGGCCGCACTTTTGTATTTCTTTATTACATTTCTAGCTGTCTTTCCCCTCTAGAATACAGACTCCAGAGATAAGGGTTTCATTGTCTCAAGTCACTGCTAGGTCTTTAGCCCTTAGAACAGGTCCTGGCTCATACTAGGCACTCAAACATTAGCTGAAAGAATTCATCATCTTCCTTATGACACTACTTGCCCTGTTTCTGAGGCCATCCCTCTTAGCTCTGTCGATTTCAGAAGCTCTTTTGCTTCAGACTCACACACTGTCATTTGCAAAAGGCCTTGAGCCACCACTCCATCAGAGCTTCTTTCCCTGGGGTAAGGCCTGAGGCCCTATTTAAATTTCTCTGGGAGGAGATTGTCTATTAACTTAAAGTCCATTATTGTACCTGTAAGTGAATTGATGGGTGAGATTTTTATCTTGTGACTTCAGAAGAGCATTTCAGGAAGTAGGTATTCTGATTCCTTTTTTTTTACAGATGAGGAAACTCTGATGAAGTTCAGAAACATTAAAGAACATGCCCAAGATCTCCCAAGTAGAAAGTGTTAAAAGTGGGATTCCAGTCGAGAACCATCTAAAGCCCAACGCCTGGAGTTGGCTTGACAGATAGCAGTGCTCGACAGGAGCAGCCCACTGAACAGTCCTGACTGTTGCAGCGAAATTCCGAGTCAACATTAACCAGGTGGGCTGTTCATGTGTTACACACTGTTCCCGTGATAAATCATTTTCATCAAGGCAGATGGCTTCCTACCTGGGGAATTGCAAGCAGGGAAATCAAAACAGAATCTGTGAGTGTTTTACTTGAACTTGAGGAAAATATGGGACAGAACCAATTTCAGCCATTCAGATACTCCTTGGAGTAGGTCTGATTTTCTCCAGTGAAGTGGCAGCGCAGAGGGTTACACTGTGAGTTGTACTTGATTGCTTACTGTTTAGCCATTTGTGAAGTGTTCAAAACAACCCAAAATCGGGGCCAGGTGGATGCAGAGTAGAGTACTAGCTCCAGAGAAGTGGCTCAGTGAGGGGCCCTGACAGGCAGTGTCAGGGACAGCACCAGGCAGCTGAGCCAAATCTATTCATCCATGGGACAATGACAAAATCCTCACTGTGCTCTGGATTTAACCAGAGCGCATGTACAGTAATGTGCCTTGGTAAGTACCACGTCCTACCCAAAGTGCATCAAGACTGAGTCAGCTGTAGGATCCGTGGGGTCCAGACCCAATTCCCGGAGAATTATGGAAACATTAAAAAATGTATCCATCCTTGCTGGCGGACAATGACTGTATAGAGTAGTTGGTGAGCATAATTACGTATAGGTGCAAGCATGTCACATCTCGTAGTGAGCCTCCTCCTGAGTGAAGAGCTGAAGCCAGCTCTTAGCCGGCAGTACTCAAGGGGCCATCTCTGGATAGATCTAAATTCCTTTTCTCCTTTCCTTGCCTAGATTTTATTTATCCTTCCCGGTGCGCCGTACGATCTCTGACCCAAGCATTATCTAGGGGAGAGGTCACTTCCTTGTGGCATTATCTCGTTACTATTTTAATAAGAATCTCAACATCTTCACCTACAGTTTGATCTGAGAATCTCCCCTCACTGCTAACAGCGTTTTGACCCCTTCCGATACATAGGGCAAACCACTTGCTTGCTACCATCCCTAATCGCCACAGTGTCCCTCTCCCCGGCCCCTCTCTCCCCCTCTCGCCCCCCCAACTTCTCCCCCAGGAGAAGTGTCATGTGTCACCCTCCTTCTACCATAGCAGGATGGAAGGCGTGAAAGCCTGTTCTTGGCCAAAGGGGTAATCACCGTGTTGGTCAGAGTTGCAAATGGGTCCCATAACTGGAACATGAACTTTGTGATTGCCACCTCCCTTTGACTAAGGCCACATCGCGTTTTGTTTATTTCACCACTTCCTACCCAGTATTCCATGGCCCACACAGGCTGTGCACTGAGCTCTGGAGATGCAAAGACAAAATAGGACCCACCCCCGCCCTTGAGGAGCTCACGGTTTAGTTGGGGAGACACAGAGTAAATAGTGACACTGCAAGATGATGAGGGCTATAACAGAGCTATAATAATTGAACTGGGGACAAAGACGAACCTTTAAAATAGAAGGGCTTTTAAGATTCATTTTTCTTAAAGACACAGTTCTACCTAGCACGTCAGTCGCTATGCTAGCTTCTGTCTTCTCCAAGCTCTCTTTCACTTGGTAAAATTTACAAATGTTTTAATTATACATTCTATTTTAAAACTAGACAAAGTACACATGCATATTATAAAGAACACTTCTAAACTTTTTCCCAGTTTATTTTTAGGTATAGATGAAACAAGCAGGTTAGCTCTAGAATTTTATAGTCTAACTTGCAACGAATATATTCAGACTAAGTCTCCCTTAAGAGGAAATACAGTTAGGCAGGCTTTTTAGTGGCTGTACCTTCTTTAAAAACAACAAAAAAGGTAAGGGTATGAATATCAAAGTTAGCATGTCACATTTTCTTATTTCAATAATTTTACTTTTTGGATACTCCAGAAAAGAAACTCGTGTTTTAACTAAGACTTAAGTACACGACCACATTTTCTTTTACTTAGAGCTACGCAACTCTTAAATGTCTTAACATGTGCTTAGAATCTCCTAATATCCCTGATGTCTCCCAGAGTGATTTTTAGCTGATCCGATTGTAAAGTCAGGAATGCAGACATGTAAATAAATTGAGTTCTTCAGTGTGGGAATGTCTCCATGAGATGGAGAGCCAGCCGGGCAAGTGGCAGGACAACATGGCTGCCAACACACGCTTGGAAAATTGACAAAAATGACTTTGAGCCACTGAGTGGTTCTCACACCAGAATTAAGAGCAGCAGCGACCATGCCAGGCCAGCCTCCACTCAAATCTGATGCCATAGAATGACACAGGTCCAATTTCCAGCATTCTTCTGAAGACAAAGGAGTTAGTGGGAGTGGTGCTTCATTTCCTCTGTATTTCTGTAAATTATAGGCAAATTGGAATCTATCTGGGAAACAGTAGCCCTGCTCCTAAGTTATATTTCCTCTTTGTGAGAGTCAGTTGACCTATGTGAAATTAGTTTTTACGTTAATATGTTGAAAATTGATGCTCTCTCTTACCTTGTCCAAAGTATTTGATGAGAATTCTCAGGTGTTGTATTAAGCAAAAAATTTTATTTGAAGCATTTAGAATGAGAAACTATGAGAGTTTACCTCCATCCTCTATCCATAGTGTGATTGCTGGAAATGAAAGCAGCACTGGGGACTCAGATCTGTCACCATCTACCTTATCATGCTGGCTGTGTGAGCAATTTTCTTAACATCTTTGTCTCTCAGTCTCCCCCACCCCACCCCACCCCACCCCACCCCTGTCTGTAAGGTAACATTATTATCTGACTAGTGGTTGTTCTCTTAGGAATTTATGTATTAGTTCCAAAAGTATTTATTGAGCACCTGCTAAGTATTATGTAATAAGAGACAAAATACTTGTTACATTAAAAGAACAAACTCTGAGCTGGTTGTGGTGGCCCACGCCTGTAATTCCAGCTACTTGGGAAGTTGAGGCAGAAAGATAACAAGTTCCAGGCCAATCTGGAAAACTTAGTGAAACCCTACTCAGAATAAAAATTTTAATGGGTGCTAGAGTTCTTGTCCCATGTGCCCAAGGCCTTGGGTTCAATTCCCAATAGTAGGGGTGGAGGCAGAATGAACTCTGGAGCCAGAAAACCTGGGTCCAGGATTCACCACTAGATGTACAACTTCAGTCAAGTCATCACCTCCTCATGTTCCACGTTTCTTCTCCATAAAATGGACCTAACAATAGTATCTATCTCGCAGTATTGATACAAAAATTAAATGTCTCAATATGATCTTGGGATAGGACCTAGAACACAGCTTTACATAAATATTAGCTATTTTTCTAGGTACCACATTTCTGAGGAGAGCTTACATTTAGGGGGTAGAAAAATGTCATAAATAAGTAAATTATTTGATATGTAGGTGACAAGCACTGCAAGGGGAAACTAGAGCAGGAAAGCATGATTGAGAGTGCCAGGAAGGGACTGCAGTCTTTGATATGATGACCGGTGCAGACCTCATGGAGAAGGTGGTATTGGAGCAGTCTTCAAGTCGGGGAGGAGTAATCCGGGCTTACATCTGGGAAAGAATATTGGTGCAGAGATACCTGCTAGTAGAAGATCTGTAATGTGGGTGTGTATGGGCCTGGAATGTTTGAATAGTAAGGAAAGTAGCATAGCTACAGCCTGGTAATGGAGAAGAAAGGGGGAAGAGACCACGTCAGGTCATCGTCCTGACAATTACCTGTGGTGTCAGGACACCTCGTAGGCCATTGTGAGGGCTTTAGCATTTACACTCTGAGAAACAGAAAGTCATTGCAAGTCTTTGAGCAGAGAAATGTCATGGTCTGACTTATACATCTGAAAAAGATCTATTTGTCTACTGTGTTGTAGTGCTCAGTTGTACTGCTCAGTGTTAGCTGTTACTATTATCCCCACCATTGGGTTTTATTGAGCACCCAGCTGTATCTGCGTCTCTATTCCTGTCTGTTGCCAACCAACACCATAGATGCAGGATTATTAAAGCCTTTGAATGGTTCCATATCAGGAAAACTGAATTGGCCATTTTGTGTTGGTATAGAACAACATGGATGGAGCAGCTGCTAGGACATAGATTTCTGGTGTCACTAGTTGGGTCCAAAAGGTCATTCCTGAATGTGATTCTATGCATTGTATCAGCCATAAAGAAATGCTTGCTAATCATAAAATGTCAGCTTCACTTAGCAATGTTTTTCAGGGTGTGATTAAAATCATTAGCCACATTACAGCACATGTCTATTCATGCAGCTCAGTAAAGAGATGGACAGAGAACATGTCTTCTTTCACACGCAGAAATGAGATGTTCTTCCAAAGGTAGATCACTGAGCAGAGTTTTTAAGTTACTAGAGATGCTCCAGAGATTTCTTTTAGAAAAACAGTCCCCACTAGCAGCACATTTCAGTGACACAGTGTTGGTCCCAAAACTTACTCATGTGACATAGTCAACCTGTTCAATGAACTCAATCTGTCACTCCAGAGAAGAACCACAACTGTGTCCACGTGAGCAGATAAAGTGGGTGCATTCAGAGCCAAAGAAACTTTGAAGTCAATGAGTAAGCATTGGGATTTTTGACATTTCAGACATTAGAAGAGAATTTGAAAGTGACTGATCCAGAGCCTTCTTTCTCCCACCTGGTGCATGACCACCTATCTCAGCTTTCAAAAGAGTTTGAGCATTACTTTCCAACAATAAAAGACCCTGGACTTGGAAGGTGCAGACCCACAACCCAGTTGTGAATGAGTCAGGTGAATCGACTTAGTGCTGGAAGAGAATCCAGTGCTTGAGATCACAAATGATGGCGGACTTACAAAACTAATCAAATAAGAATTGCATCTTTTGTAGTGAACATCTTAAAACAAACAAACAAAAAATAGTATGTCTCAGACAACTTTAAATAAACTCTGTATGACCTGGATTAAAGCCAAACAAAATATCCTAAATTACCACAAAAATCACTGAAAAGCCTGCTTCCATTTCCAGCAACCCCTGTTTGTGAAGCAAGGTTTTCTATAGTGACAGCAACCAAAATAAGATTATGGAGTAGACTGGACGTAAGCAACACATTTCA